TCACAGGTATAATCACTAGGATCATTGTTTCTCTAGTTAATAAATAACACTGAATAGAGACCCGACGCCTCAATGAATGATCAAACGAACGACCTGCTAAATGAAAGAGCTACTAGCTTGTCATTAATTCTCTTTTTGACTCATGCTGCTAAATACTTATGAGAACATCTCATAGGTATGCTGTATGTACTCAACTCCACAGGAGTAACTAACTGTATAGACAAACACAATAATACTCTTACCGATGAAACCTATTCTTCAATATCCTGACAACATATGTCAAGAAGCCAAGGATAGACAGATGGAACAAGATAAAGAGTTGTGCATCTATTAAAGTTGCATCACTTCCAAATCGTAAAAGATGGTGGAGATTAACAGAAGGAAAAGGATACGGAAATGAACAAAAAGCATAAAATGCATTGGAAGGCAATAAGTTAGTAATAAAATAGCCAGATGTATTTCATTGTACTGTATAGAACCAGAATTAGTATTCATTAGAAACCACATGATTAGATTCATACAGAAGGAAGCAGAATTGTAATTCTTTTGTTGTGTTTACCATAAGTCGAAGACATAGACATCCTGATGAAGTGAACAAACGGGTCGACTAATAATAAAAACATAAATGAGGACACTTATACAAATTTACTGTTAGTTTCAGCAGTGGGTACAAAGTGAGTTAATAGAATTGCAATGGATTATCTTAATATCCAACACAACATATATATTTATACATACATATATTGATGACTGGAGAGTTACACACTTCAAGTTGCAGAGTCATAGGCACTAACTAAATTCGACCTATCATTCGCAGTGTAGCCACCAATCTAAGAGACTGACTATCGTGGTGCAATTTGACTAATGAAAATTAGTTGGAGGCAATCGGAATGAAGTCATGAACCGAGGTTGCATGCCTGCTGGTAGTCGTTTCTACAGCGTATCTCTACTCTGAAGTGACCTGATAAACATGAAATTGGCTACTCTACAGTGACCAATCAGTGCATGTAATCCAACCCTACAGGAGGTGAGTCGTAGCTTAACTAGCTCAGTGGTTGCACTTTTGACTATAGTACTTGGCGTCGTGTGATTAAATCTCTGACAGGACAATTACTTCTAAGCGACAAGTTCCGACAAGCAAAAAATATAAGAGCAGAACTTCCTATCGATTACCTCTAACCACCTTGCATATATTCAGCAATTACTAGAAAAGTGTTTCCTTCGACCTTTAGTCATTTTGTTGTCAAAATTTTATGAATTGTGTTGACAAAAGTTGTTCAATACTGTCCACCATTGATAGAAACATTCATTTTTCTGACTGGTTTGCAAATTTACAATTAGCAGAAAAACTGATTCCGTTTCTCTAAAATATTGTGAGAAACTTGAAAGCAAGACCGATCTAGACATCCTGAAGTGCAGTTTCAAATACACCTGGCCTCGTATGATTTTGAAATGGTGGAGAATATTTGTTGCTCAGCTGGATGATCTTGTTGGTATTGTGTTCCCTGAGGTGGGTTGTTTAGTCGCGAAGATTTCGTCTTTCTAGACGACATCATCAGCATTAACTTCGGTATGAAGTGAGCTGTCAATATCCTCTACGTGAGTGATTCACTAGCTTGCCCTGATCAACTGGTTTATGAGTGGCTGTTTCCTTTGATTGTTGTGTCATTGACTGCATAGATCTTGTTGGCTTCTAAATCATCCACGGAGAGATATTGACAGCTCACTTCATACCGAAGTTAGTGCTGATGATGACGTCTAGAAAGAAAATGAAAGTTCCACGATTGAACAACCCAGCTCAGAGAACACAATACAACCACGACAAATCACCCCCTTTAGCTTACCTTGTAATCAGTTCATTAGGCTAAAGTAGTCTGTTCCTAGACCCGTTTCGGGTATATCACCATGCCCTATCTACTAGTAAAACATGAACGAATTTAGAAGTGAAAATCAGGTTTCATATTTCATTCAAATTTGTAATGATGCATTGATTGTACCTGAATGTTTTCAAGTTTAAACACACCATACAGCTTTAAAAACTATGGTTACTAACCAGACTAGTAAATTAGTATGGCTGACTTTTTCACACCGGTGATTTGGTTATCATTGAAGGTTATTAATACTCAAGATTCATTCAATCAAATAAATTAATTGATCCCTTTCAGTGTAAGAGGATCTTTGAAGTCTTCATGATATTATTATCCAAATATCAGCTGTTGGTAGCTTTTTTGAGATGTTAATAATCAGCACTTTCAAACTTAACGTTACTTAAGTCAAAAATAGATCATATCAACAGTATAAGTGTATTAACTCAATATTCTTTTCAAAATTTCAAATATTTCGTTACTTCGTACCAGCTGTTATCCTTTAATTTTAATGTTTTCCTTGTAAAAATTCCCTGTTCATCGCTAATTTTATCTCTTTATTTCACTGAAAAATGTGATAGTTTGAATGACATTCCTTCTGCGCAAAATTACACATTGCTTGCTTCTCAGCATTCTGATGTGCATCCAAAACCATCATATCCATCGATGTGCGATGTCAGCCAAATTAGGATTGAGTTCAAGAATGCTAGGATTGATTAACTGACTGGCTGACAGAATCAACGTAGAATCTCGCACAGGAGTGCATCGGCTCAAGTTGCCACACTTTACAGAAGTACACAAAGAACAGAAAAGAAGTGATGTCAAAGTACTAGATCAAGTTGTATGGCAGAATAAACAATCTGAAGATAACGTTTAGTGCGAATATTCAAGCTTAAGAAGATGTCAAGGAGTGAATATATCTGGGGCATTTTGACCGTGATTCCTTTCGTCTTGGGGACTCCAGCCAAGCAGTTCATCATTCCCAACACGTCTCAAACCAACAGTTAGGGATTTCATAGACTGGTTCCAGGTCCAGTTGTACACAAGAGTGATTAAACCAAGACGTGACACAATTCCATGAAGTTTTTCACTGTTGAGCGTAGACATGTTGCGGGATTTAGGCTACCTAGCAGAAGTTCTCTAGATGATTGAAATAAAGGGTTAGATAGTCATGGTACTATAACTTGAAATTGGTCATAATGGTGTAGTTTCATACATATTCATTAACCTTTATTTACTTCGTTTCCTCTTCTCTCATACTTTTGTTTATTTTAATGTCATTCTTTTTCTATTCACTTCACCCATGTAAGCTGCTGTGAAATGTAGCTAACTGAACTGATGCACTTCTGCATCAGAACTTACGTTGATCTTTGTTAAATATGTTGTGCTGGTTTATCTTTGTGTCAGTCTGTGGACTTCGGTTTTATTTGCAATTCAGTGCCAATGTTGACTCATATCGGTTCCATCGACACCTCTTTATTCATTGTAAATTCTTACTAACTTCTACTTGCATAAATTGTTTGTACTTGTGACTCTTATTCTGATGAGCTGACTTCATCTCTTTGATTGATTCCGTGTGTGGACTAATTTCAGTTATTTGGCTGACTTGTTTGTTTGAAATTTGAGGTCCTAATTTTGACTATATATGTAGATTAGACGTGGTTGTAGCGAAGAAAAATTTTCCTCTTCGAAGAAGTCATTTTACTAAGTTGTACATTCGTGAATGTATGTTAAACTGGACAGAACGTTCAAGAACCATTTTCGATCAGGTGGTAAAATATATTGAATAACTGAAGGAAGTTAATTAATACACATTTAGATGTGGAGTGGGAAAATAGACGAGGGGTCATGAAACTGAGTGTAATTATGCAATACAGAATAAATGTGTGGCAAAGTAGGAGAATGAACCAAGACTTACGAAAACAAAATTGTAATTATGTAATTCAGGTTAAATGTATGACAAAGTAGGAAAATAAACAAGGGATTGTTTGCTTGTAAAACTTGCTCGCAAACACTACCCAGCCCGGCTGGTACCGACAGGACAGAAATGTATCTTCAGTTCAGTAACAGAACACCTCAAGAATTAAGAATACTTAGCTCCTTTTGAGAACTAATTCAAAATTCTTTATAGGGTTCAATCAAAACACTCGAAGGAAGTAAGACCAAGGCATTTGTCTACAGCTGAGGCACTAGCTATCCGAAAGTTCAAACCAGTGTTATGCTTTCAAAAAAGGTACGTCCAACCTTTATGTTTACCATAGCCATCACAAAGCCATGAATGTCATAGATTCACCCTGTATTAGGTAACTATACATGTATTTGCTTCATCCCTTGTTCATTTTCATACTCTATCATAGGTTAATCTTGCATTGCATAATTACATTTAATTTCATAATTCCGTGTCTATTTCCCCATTCCAAACCTAAATGTGTATTAATTAACTTCCTTTAGTTATTCAATATATTTGACCCCTAGCCGGAAATAATTCTGGAACATTCTGTCCAGTTTAGCATACATTCACGAATGTACAACTTAGTAAATGACTTCGTCACAAAGAAAAATGTCTCTTCACTGAAACCACCTCTTGTCTTTTCCTATGATCAAATAGGTGCATTCCGCTATTGATTTGTAGACTACTTAGATGGTTCTCGTGAATTCTTCTTTTGAATTGACTCAGTGATTTTCGACCAACGAGGCGCCACAGTTAAAGAATGTAATTATTATTATTTTGGTCATAATAAATCTTATTCCTAATACTATCTGGACAATAAACTTCAATATTTTTGCTCTAGACTTTTGAGGGTTAAGCTTAAGTATAAATGACGGAAGTGACACTTTAGATTACACCTGACCGACGAATTCTGAAAGCATCAATGAAAATATTGCTTAAAATGTCAGCAACAACCATAAGTTAAACAGTAGTAATCACTATTATAAATAGGGTCCAACATAAGCCCTGTATGTTAGTCGACTCAAATTATATTCTAACGAGTGTACTAACTCCCTAGTGAGTAATTTGGATGTATATTTCAGTTTAAACAAAAATATTTAGCTAAAATTGTTTCCTAATCATTTTGTACTGCAAAGTAGTCCATAGCTGAACAAATCACCAACAGATATTATTACTATACTTACCAATTTTCAAATGCCTGTTGAGATAAATGTTGTTTTTCATTTTCTTCACTTTCTTTCACTTCTTTCTCTTGCTTTTGTTTATTTAAACGTTCACGGTGTTGTTTAATGATCACTTCATCTTTACGTGCTTTCCATACTTCAAATGCCTTTTTATGAAAGGTAGATTATAGGACAAAAATAAAACGATATTTTTATAGTGGTAACAACGCCTATCCGTTTTATGAAAAATATTATTTAAATATTAAGGATACTATTGTGTAACTCTAAGGTCTATTGCTGTTACTTATAGATGAGCTACGGCACGATTTAATGACTTATGCACCATATAACTTCAAGTAGTTCATTTTGTTCTTTGTACGACTAGACCCTGCGTTGAAATCTCATAATTTTAGCCAGTCATTTCAACATAATACACAATTTTCCTTTCAAAACCATAAAGCTTTATCCTGTTCCAAGAAATCTGATTAACGTCAAAAGCTATAGCGATCTCTTCAAAAGATTATCAATTGATTGTCAAGGTTAAGAAATAGAATTCCTGGTAGTTGTAAGAATGGTGTTTTTTTATAATTCAGGTCAATATCTCTTGGAAAACTGTCACATGCTCTTTTGAAATACAGAAAACTTAACACACAGAGTATAGACTTATTATAAGAAAGATTCGTCAATCATAATCTCAAGTGTCCTTGAAGGATTTAACCTTTTGATTGATGAAGTTAAAATGGAGAAGAATAAAATGGTTTAGGAAAATTTTTATGTACGCTAAGCAACTAGTAACATCCTGTGTGAGATAATGGCTTGAAATAGGATTGAATCAGGGAAATTCTTATTATGACAAGAATAAGTTACTAAATTCCAGTATCAATTATTTGGTGACTTGTGAGTTTCGTAATAAGGGAATAAAGGGAATCAACACCTGAACATTGTAGGTGATATCACGGAAAACATATCACAATAATGGAAAAATATATTTACCCTTCATCTTTATCAAAACCTTGAAATTATAATACTGTAATTGATCTATCTACCCCTTTTAAGCAGTTTTAGCCCTTTTTACCATTAATATAAGTACAAAACTTGGGCACTGTGGTTAAATTTAACTCCATATTAGATTTGCTTAGTTGATTTATAACACACAGTGATACAGTATTATTTACTGGATGACGTTACAAGTATAGATTATTCCTCATTATCATATCAGTGCAATCACACTATTTTCGACATCTGATTATTACAGTCCTGTCACCTGATATTATTTTTTATTGGCAGTAAAATTTTCTATATCTCTGATATTGGTTACAATATGTTGGGTGTTGATTTGATCAACAAAGATTCGGTAACCAATCTTTCTCTGGACCTAGTTAAATTGGACAGAAGTTTTATCCCACCCTATTGTGTGGTTGTGTGTAAATGCATGCATTGCAATAGCCGAGTGTTTATCTCAATCATTGATCTTATTAGGGTCTATCATTCTACATTTAGCTAGATTCCTATGTTTCGCTATTCTTACTGACCCCAACCAACCGGACTAGTTTGACCTATACACTTGATCAGATTATTTTGCCTCATTGGTTCTATTGAATCCTTAAGTCGACAAAGCTTATCTCTGAGTGAGTTTTTAGGTTTAAATGTTACCTTAATTCCAGCCTTGTTGTGAATCTTACGTAAAGTTTCTGATGTACCTTCCTTATGGGGTAACACAATCGAAGCTGCGAGTTCCTTTCTACTTGTGTTGTCGTTATTATTGGTAATCGTGTTATTGTTATCATTTCGTTTCTTATATGCTCTTATGAATTTTTTAACAGACTGTAGAGGATAGTTATTAACTACCATTACTAACTTTCTAACACAGTATTGCTTTGAAGTTTAATATCTTGAAAACAATGTACTTCCATACGGGATGCTAATTTTTTAAGGAGATATACCACTGAGCAACTTGAATAGTTGGAAACCACTTAGGCTAATTTGTAGACTTCATCAACCAGATGAGAGAAATCTAAACACTAAACTGTCTTTTTGGCGTTTTATGGTCAAACTCACCAGTAGTGTACCGAAACAAATTCAGCTCACAGAGTCGAAATGTGAATCATTTGTAGATTTATCTTTCTAGTTTAGGATACGTCAGTCCATGCAAGTCAGTTAGCTAGATCCAGGTGAACTGACCAATTTAACTGTGTAAGCTGAATCCATCCAGGTATACCGCTGACGAGCTCGACCCTAAACGAGTGAAACGGCTATCCGGTGATTAGATTACACTGATCTAGCTTGGGAAATCTGTTGATTAGTCTTAGTAGTCTCTAACTACTCAAGTTGTTCAGTAGTAATATCTTTCACAAGTTCATGACACTTTCGTGTCAAAGATCATACCTTGTGTTCCTGGCGAAGTGGTTTTCGACAGAAACACTATTGACACCATATACAAACATTTAGAAAACTACTCAACTGTGAGAAATGTCAACTTGAACCATGCGATTTATAAACCATTCGCAAATTTATCATCCCGTACCAATTTCTATTATTATCTACTTCTGTCTTTCAGCAATACGCTTTAACTCACCTTTACTTTTTTAATTAAATTACATGCTTCATAGTCTGAGTGTGTAGTAAGATATTTAACTTTGAAAGGTTACCCGGAACTTAACTTGTCAGTGAATAAATAAAATGGATGACTGTAGAACTTTAATAATATTAAATTTATAACAGATGACAGGAGTGCTTTGCTTCACCGGAGCTACTGTCAGAAAATAGTTTCAACGAGATCTGGGTACACCAAAAAAAGGAAGTTAATTAATTAATCAGTTGTTTTGATATTATTTCACTTTAAATGCATAATCCTTCATTTTATTCATCTACTAATTCCAATTTACTGTTGCTATGTCACATATTACGTAATCTTTTACCTAGTGAATTAATTGTTTGTTTTATTGACATTCTTTATCTTTTATAAAATTTTCCATCAAAATACACTTTTTCATTCATGGCTAAAATACCTAAAAAGGAAATCACTCTATAACAATGTAAAATTACAAAAATCAACGCAAACAAGAAGTGATGCCGACAGTTTTTCAACTTAATAGATTTAAGGCACTCTTTTTCGTGTAGTTCATTCACACTTTTCTAGATATCTTAAGCTGTAGAACCAATGAGACACTAGATAACTCAACCTAACAGATTCTTCATCGTTTAAAATCGTCTTCTGTACACATTATCGAATCTTTCATGGGAGCAAACTATACAGCTGGTTGAGTTAGATGAGTAACACGGAATTATGAAGTCAATTTTTTGAAGTACTGGAATGGAAAAGAAAATTTAAAACGATTAATTCCCCTTATAAACAATAAGAAGACGTAAATTGTTTAAACCATGTAAAGTATTTGTGTAACACATTTCGAAGTGTCTGATCACACATGTACTTGGCGTAGGCATTTATATGAAAATTTATGAAGATAAGTAGTGAACCATGTCAGAGGACTGATGTGGTTACTTCCTTTGCAACTATTTACTAGACGTGTTCTAACCGGATCCTTAAATTTGTTGAGGCCTTAACTATTAGAAAGTTCAAACCACCTTAGTGTGTTCACAAGCAATTTATTGTCACATTAAATATTCCTTGGTATATTCAACTATGAAAACCAAGCTCGATATTCTATTATTTTCGCTCTATTGGCTTTCATTGTTATTTGGTCTTTAATTCAGCTTTCCTATCTATAATAATAATAATAATAATAATAATAATAATAATAATAATAATAATAATAATAATAATGGCTTTATTCTGAAGGCTACTTCGGGAATACTCTATAGAATTTTCAGCACGTCATATAGCATCATTTGGATAGAAACAGTGTACATATATACATACCAAAGTGAAATAAGTAGAAATTACATGGAGAAAAGATGAGAATATTCGCTCTATCTACAACTTTCTTCAAAATGCACAATCAATTTAAGTAGACAATCACATTAGCAATTAGATTCATAATACGTAAAAAGTAACACGCTCATCGTCATCAATTAGTTCGCTTTCAAAAACAGAAATTGATTCGTTAGTTCATTTCTAATGCCTTCTTCATCACACAGCAGATAATCTAAATATGGTATTGTAGAGTTTTTGTATTTTGTAGTACGTGCATTGAGTCTTATGTACTTGCTCTTCGTCTTTCCAGATGACCAACACGCAGAGTAGCTTTGAATGAAGAGGATGTTGGTCATCTGATACAAGAACTCCTGCCAGACGTTTACAAGAGTTAATATGTTTGTCCACAATAGTTTTAACTAGAAGGTTTCGAGATAAACCAATAGTTCTGATGACAATTTTCAAAGTTCTACGCAATACAGCATAGTCTTTTTTTCAGCAACCCAGAAAAAAATAAAGGGGAGCAATGGAGAAGGACAGGCAAGATGCAGGAGTTTATAAAACATAAGAGAAGAGGCTGAATAGTATCAGATACTCTCAGATTCCTAATATAGAAAGTTAGGCGGAAAATTCTTTTGGAAATTAGTGAGATATGAGAAGACCAGGAAAGGTCGGATGAAAAACACACCAAGATAAATCACATTTGTAACATTCTCTAATACGCAACTATCAATAGAACAGGAATCATGAGAAATAAGCAGTTTACATAAGTTATGTTCACGTTTGAAACTAAACTTTATGGCCTAACATTCTGAGGAACTAAGCATAAGACCATTCTCGGAGGACCATCTTCTAATGAAATCTGCTTTAAAACACAGAAGAAGAATAAACATCAACTTGACCTCTTTTATTTTCTCACCCCTTACCTTCATGAATTTTAATATAAATACCTATGACGAGTACATGTGTGGTCAGATACTTCGAAATGTGTTACACAAATACATTACACGGTTCAGACAATTTACGTCTACTTATTGTTTTGTCGAAAAGAAAAATTGTCGCGAACAAGTTATAAATAAAACATATTCATACTCTACTCAAATTTTAGAGAATAAAAATAGAAAAATAGGAGATAATCATACTTTTTCAGAATTACGTCTTCGTTCTTGTTCTTCTTCAAGTTTCTTCTTTTGTGCCAACTCTTCAGCTTTACGCTTTTTCATTGTTTCAATTAAAAGTTGATGTTTATTCTGCTTCCATGTTTTAAAGCAGATTTCATTTGATTTCATTCTTTCTAATTTCTAATAAAAGAATGGAAAAAATGTTTGTCTATCGGAAAATGAAATGATGTTTAAATAATTTTAGCTACACCATTTAACTATTCAACTTTAGTTTTATAATTATGTAAAAGTGAATAACTTTAAGGTCAACACTCAGGACTAGGCAACACCAATTTAGTTACTGAAAGAAGAACAAGTATTTTAGTGAAGAGTCTCATCTTGGTAATTTCATTTTCAAAGCCGTACAACCCCAAATTTATACATCTTTCTACCGTAAGAATTTGACTGTTAAAACGGTCTGTCAAGCATGGCAACACAATTAGTGTCAGTAAATGAGCGGTCAATAAAATCAAAAAACCAACAACTGATGAGTAGTGAATAGTAATCAACATAAGTTTGGACAAGAAGTTTCGTGATATGACGATATAATTAGAAACTGAGTTGTGATGAGGCAGAGGATAACAACAAGAACGAGTAGCAACTTACTTAAGAAGTAAATAGTGTGGAAACAGAAAAAAGAAAATAAGTAAGGGCGGAGTAGAGGAGACCGAAAACTAAGAAAATAAAAGAAGAAAGGTTGAACAATCTTCTAACATTTATACCTTCCAAGAGTAAATACATACAAAACAAAATGTAGCAGCACTCAGAAATCTTAAAAATCAGTAATTTTAAACAAATGAAATTTGAAAGTAGTATTCATCATCAACTGATATCAGTTGGAGAATCAATAAAAAATTTGAGGCACTGAACAGCAGTAGGCATACACAACTCCACCAGAGATTGGACTCAGGAACCTCAGGCTTCATGGTGAACGCATCAACCATCCAGCCACTGGGTCAGAGTTCAGTGGTCCACAGTTTCCCTGCTTCTGTCGCTTCGTGATATAATACGACTATCTATCAAGCTCTTCAGTAGCCATCCGCTTCCCTTCCAACCAGTTGACCCCACTGATCTTCGATTCTGATTATAAATTTGAAGCGTTCATTTCATTTGTTAGTAGTTTTTACAAGTAATGTAAGGAATTTCAGAAAACAGCGTAGAGAGAACTTTGTACAAGACTGGATCACTTAAAGTTGTCACACTTCACTATAGCAGCATAGGAAGCTATTGTGTTGGAAAAAGTATACAATGATGGAGTAAAAAACGAGAGTAGTTGATTTCATACCAATAATTAGGGATTTTATACAGTGATGCTGCATCTTTATCTGGTTACTTTCACGTTACCTTCAACCTAACCCTAAGTAAAATAGCATGATGCTAAGAGTTATTACTATTTATTGATACTAGTAATTTACCGTTGTTATTCTAGATCGAATTGATCGACCTCTTTTGGCAGATGGGTTTCTTTGCGGATGCCTCAATATTGCCTGATTATTGGTTACATTGTAGTCTTCTTGATGGTGGGTAGCATTAGAATCCAGGAAACAAGTTTCATCTCATTTCAGTTTCGTTAGATGGATGTACACGCACCCTAACAAATGTTGTTGCCTCTGAAACTCAAATTCAGCATCTATCTCTTTAAACATCAAAGCGCTATCCGCTAGGCCACTACACTATAAGTGACAGCTCTTGTACAACAGGTATCGGTTGCTATTTATTGATACTTATAATGTCTAGTTCATATTACTAGACAACAACTGGCAGCCATCTCACAGTACGTGGTTATTGTACCCCAGTGTGCTAGTGGATAGCGCTTGACATTTGAAGCGATAGATACTGGGTTAGAGTTTCACTGGGAAAAAAAATCTCCGCTGAGGTCCAAGTACGTTCAGCTGACGAGTCTCAAACAGGACGATATGTGCATTCTGGATTCCACTACTAGCCACCGCCAAGTAGATTACAACAGACAGTAACCGATTTACCGCAAGAACCAAAAGTTGTGTTCGGTTCCTCGAGGAGTTTAAAATGTGTTTGTGAGCTTTCTGTAACCAAAAAGAAATGGTTATCAATGTCCTTTGTCGTTTTCGACTTCAGCTTGTAGATAACATGAGATAATTCCAGTTACATCAATTAATTTTTAGGCATTTTTCATTGCAAAGTGACATTCTATGAGTGAAATGTTAGAAACCTCAGAGATTGGCGTACACTACCAACTTTATCATTATTTGAAGAGAGGACTTTCACATCTTGAAGTGAAACACTGAGCTTAAATCCAATGCTTTACATTTTCCACTTTCAGTCAATACTTGATATTTCGATATTACAACCTGGTATCTTCTTAGGCACCTATCTTCACTCTGTATTAGGCTAATCCTACAGCTCAGGCCATCCTTGAAGAAAATCACTACTTAAAGCTACCTTTCATTACTTACAAGTGATTATTAGGGAAATTCATCAATTTGATAAATTTTCACTTTAAGTGCTTCTCACCATTCCCACATATTCCTGACTTAACATCATTACACAATCTAGTGAGCATTACTGAGATTCACTAAGAAATATGGGTAAGCCATGGAACCCGAAGGTCCTGGGCTCAATGCCCAGCGGGTAATGAGTGCCCACTGCTGAGAAGTCACATACTGAGACGAAAGATTTCTCTGCCAATATAGTATAGTATAGATCTATGATGAAAAACTATTTTGAAGCAGTCGAAAGTTAGTGAGGCAAACCCTCTGAAACGAATGCTTGAGCTCTTACCTCTTTCTCCTTTTTCGTTTCACTGACATCATTACGTAGGCTAGACAAACGTTCAACACGTGCACTATGAACCAATCGATTACACCAAGACTGATAGGCAAGATCACGTAGAATAACAGCATTCAGTATGCATTCATCGCCTTTATGATAAGGTTTACCTAAATTTTTATCGGACATCTTTTGATTAGATAGTTGACATGAACTTTTTGATCGCTTCATTGATAATCTAGGCGATGTTGTGTTTTGGTGATGAATGGACTTTAAAATGACATCACCAATTTGTTTATTATTGTGTATGATACTTTGTTTTTCTTTCGATGTAATTACGGGTGAATTGATGAGTGTTTTGTCTTCTTTATCGATTAAGTTGATGCTGCAAGCAATCGATTGACTTAAAGAAATAAAAAGAGGAAAATAGAGGTGAAATATGTTCGACGGAAAAAAAATTATATTAGTTTGGAGTTTGAAGGGATTTTATTATTTTAAGTTGGTATTTATCATGAAATGACATCAGTTGGAGAATGACTGAAAACCTGGGAGCACTGAATAGCTGTTTTGTACTAGTATAAGGCTCCTCAGCAGCCCTCACTCATGACTCCACCAAGGTAAATACACACTGGTCGCATTAGACGATGGCCATGCTACATTGCGAATAGTCAGAGGTAGGGAACTGTACTCTCATTGACTCCAACCCAGTAGTTCAATGGTAACATGCCCGATACGATGCTTGAAAGTTTCAGGTTTTCGTCCATGATGAGTTCATGGACGCGCACCACTGAGAAGTCTCATACCAGGACGAAACAGATTTTTAATGGTTCTCCAAGTGATGTCAGTGCATGATGAATACTGTTTGAAACATATTATTATGACTACGGAAAACAGGTTAGAATCGTAAAATCATGTTGTCCTCGAGATGGCCAATCAGAATTAAGACAACTTTATCTTGATTTTCAGCGGGAAATCATTTTTAAGTGTCAACGGCTTTGACTGTGGATAAAGTTGTATTGGATGTTGATGAGGATAGAGATAGCCGAATATTAAAAATGCAGAATAGTTTGAAAGTGTCATTTACATGAGCATATAATTCCATTATAGTTTTTGTTTTACATATGTCCCACTATGAACCAGCATTACTCAATGGTGAAATACCAAGCAGAATTTATTCCTCATAATCATACTAAGGTGATCATACGACTTTTTGGCTTGGTTTTTATAATTCTCTTGTTTTTGATTCGTTTATTTAACTGATGGTTAAATTGTCCAAATATCCATAATCAATGCCATGTCATTTCTATTACATGTGCCAAGTGGTGATTCGATAAACATGGTTTCATTTACCAATTTCTCTCTCCACTTACTAAGGTAGTTTCTTTTGAAACTGGCGCTCTATTCCGTCTTTTTCCTGATTGTTTCTGACGGTATGCAAAGCTATAGCACAGACTTTTTACTTGTCTCATTTGAGTCAAATATTCTTCATCTAACTATGATTTTACGTCCTGCTGAACTCAGTAACCCCGATCGGCTAGTTTAACCAATTAATTTGACCTAAATTCAATTCGATAGATCAAACTGTTTGGACTCAATAAGTATCACAAGATGGTTTGGCAAACAAGGTTGACTGAAAAGAAAAAAGCATATGAGAAAATAGACCGAGTTTCTGGATTAAGATTAGAGAATAAAGCAAGAGACTGGAATATAGTGGCTGACTTAGAGAATATGTGCTTGATAACCACTTAAATGGCACATAATGATATCAAGACTAATATACCTACTGGTGAGTTCTAACTTCATAAAATGAATAAAAGCTATCGGAAAGTTCCAAAGCAACAAGGAGGGGATGTTAATTACATCATACTTTTCAGTGGTTATTAGATCGCTATTGAATAAAGATGAAAGATACTTTTGAAGGTTTAGAGGTAATGCTTTTCTTTAAACAGAATCGACAACTTCATCTTACCTATTAATTTTGACCATCTCTGTTTTGATAGATATATTTACAAATAAACATGGTTACATAGGACAGATAGACAAAATCCGAGCTGAGATTTCGTCAGCAACCAGCACTTCCAGGTTGACGCAGATTTCCGAGTAAGTGAAGTGATGAATGGAGTTTATCTCTTCACTCCATATCCTTCAGCCGGAAGTAGCTGTAGACTAGTCCTGAACCATCGTCTAAGATTTTTTAGGTGTACAACGCATGCCAAACATACTCAGATTCCTGCTGAAGGCACTTAGGAAATCCTGCATTATTTCAGCGTCTGCGTACTCCATTGTCAACCAGATAGCGCCCAGGAAGTAGGTCAATCCGTGTGAAGCTAGAGGTACCTAAATTTATGTTCAAATTCCACTGTAATATGTATCATTCCAAATTATAGCAGATAAGCGAACATAAAGAGTAAAAGGTAAGCGGCCGCTGCAAGCAGTCATTTTATTCCTTCACTCTTAGTAATGGATACACTTAATAAACACCAATCTTCGATGGATAACAAGCCTACTCTTCCCATACCTTATGAGTAAGGGATTATTTTTATTGAGAGGTTAGTTAGTATAACTTCATAAAAGTGGCCATTCACAACAGCAAAATACTTTTCTGGTGACGTTGCTACTTTGGATAACACTGATTTAATGAAAAAGATAATATGTATTCTTGGACGTTACGAGTCAAACAACAGGAAGCAAGAGAGCGAATTATTATCGTGTCATACAGGATCCTTGTTAAAAATTAAAAACTTAAAAATGCATCAGATCGTCGCTAACCGTCAAAATGACAGCTTAAAATTCATATTTCATCACTTACAAGATGACTGGTGAGACTAGATAGGTAAGGTCAAAGCTAGCAGTTACTAAGATGCTTGAAGTGGACTAAGTAAATAAGGGTTTCAAGGAAGAAAGAGTAGCATATGACACTTATTACCATCAGCTCACTGATTCACCTACAAATTCTGTTCTGCACTTTGTTCGCCACTGTTACACACATAATTCAGTGTTAAAGTGTAGCGACTGAGGGTATTGTGAATATCAAGATATAAGTGACTAAAGATACTGTTTTTTGGTCTACCTGAAAGCCTCTTTATGCAAATAATAAGGTAGTCATCAATCAGATCAGGATAACTTATCTACAACTCAGAAAACTCTTGTAGTTGCCTCTCCTCTGAGAAAACAAGAGGCGGAAATTCAGCCAGACAAGTTCACCACACACCAACTCATCAAGCGACCAATCAAATCACACTCGTATAAAGTGGTATATTACTGATATTCATGCAAAACTAATTACTTCACTTCCTTTTGAAGCTTTAGTGCATTGACAATGATGTCCAGCATGGTAGTGAAACGTTTGCCAAATAAAACCCCAGCCCCGATAACAACTCGATCCAACCATCTATATCCTGAGCTAGAAATATGCCCCACAACTGAATGAATCGTTCTGATTGGTCCATTGAAACACCACTCAGTTTAATAAGATGCTAATCACATAAAAGCATACATTAATCAAGAATAGAAGCTCGAAACTCCTACCTTAGCCAATAATGACTGGCTTGAAATGTTGATTTCTATTTTGGTCACTTTTTTCATGACTTTGGAAAATGTGATCCCTAACACAAATGTCCATCTCATTCTCAAAATGAGTATAAGTTTCCTAAACTTTGTGAACGGATCTACTTGACAGATACCAACAGGCTTAGATTCTACATCAAATAATTTCTTGAAGCATCTATCGCTGAATATAGTGATTTCACTGTCCAAAATATTGTTTTTAATAACCAACTTGGTTTACTCAAGTAACTTAAAAGATTACAAACGGTGAAAGTTTTCTATGCCAGTTTCTCACACTATTCGAAAGCTGTTCATTAGTGTTTCATCACAAAATAAATATATGTCTATCTTAACGGCAGTTTGATCTGTAGAATCTCTATTGAAGGCGGCCTGCTTAAATCTTGGGCTACCAGAAAACTTCCCATCTACTATACTCCATCAGATTTTTCCTTTTTAGTTTGCTTTAATCTTTTAAATGTCTTCTGAAGGCATCATGTACTCTCGACCTTTTTTAAAATGTTTTTGAATTCTCGGTTCTCAAGATAAGAACAAAACAAAAGAAAAAATTTCCACCGGTTGGAAATGGATTTGTAAATGCTAAGAAATGCAGCACATTACTATTCTTAGGATACCTGTATGGGATTGTGAATTTCTATCCTGACTAACCGAACTGCCACCAACAAAAAGACATTCGATTCTCTGTTACTTTCCAAATCGAGAACAGATGCTAATGTAACACTAGCTGCCCGTTTCACACTTATGCCTTCAATACTGCTATTATTAACACCAATAATAATACTTATTTCTTTTAGAAATATTGTACAGGAAGCGAATCAGTTGGAATATTCCATGCTGAAAATTCCATACTGTATCATACATGCTGTTTGAAACAAAGCGATTACTATTATTATTATTAAGTTACTCAGTTAAGTTTTGTGGAAATAATCTAAAATAAATGTTTCTACATACTGCTCAGAATTATTTAGGCAGTGGAAATTTAACAACCAGTACACACACATTTCTTAGAATTTACCCAAATCAACAAATCTTTATAAATGTGTTTTTCCGTCTTTATTGTCCTCCTGCTCATCTACTTGTAATTCAGAGGCACATGATTTCCCCTTACCGTTATTGTATCACTATTGTATCACGTTTATGGGATTTTATTACTATTCCATGTTTTCACTATACATCCCTTTGGACATTTTTCCTATCTTAAAGGAAGCCATATTAGTGACTTGTTACAAAAATAGGTTAGACATAGAGTTTTACAAAGAGGTAAACCATATGATGACTGTCAGTCTTCACTGACTCAGTTGACTTTGACACTTTCCAAGTCACCATCTACTAAAACGTGGTGTGCTAGTCAAAGTATGGCTAGTTTATAAAAAGGTTAATAGTAGTTGGGTGAAAACATGGTTTCAGTCTAGGAAGTCTCTAAATAGTGGAGTATGGGCTCTTGGAGAGAAATGTCAACTTTTAGGGTGAGGTTTAATGGTTCAAGGCCCTAATCAGTTTGTCTCAAAGGCGACTGCAGTGGCTTAGGTGCATCCTAAACTTAACCAATATACCATATTTCGTCAAGTGCTTTAGTCTTCCTTTTCCTTGTTTGTTAGCTTTGTAAGACTTTAGATCGGATCATTTTCATTAAATTGTCCTTCGATTTGTGGCGATGTGTCTTGATGTGCTTATATTATATTTGGCAAATTGAATGATAATCAAACTACACCATATTTAATTTAGTATTGACTGACTGACTGACCTATTAGGATAACCATGTGATACGAGAAAAGAAAGAAACTAATGCACATGAAGTGATCGCTAGTGAGGCAGGATAGCTTAGTATTGAAATTCCTGACCTCAGCATTTATTGCCACAAGTTTGAAAACAATTTACTCCTGTTTGTAGACATGTCTTGTTTAAGAGTGTCAAAAACTGAGAAACCTAGGTCTTGGGCTTCCAAGTGATTGACTTCGAACATCTAACACCGAAAGAGATCCATTGCTGTCACTGTCTCTTTGATAGTCTCTGTAAAATCATGTTTTGGATATAAATTTAAGGATCATATGGTGATTTTGATGAACAAATGAATGCTTACTGTCCAAATAACTGACAGTCACACTACTTAATGAACAAATGTTAACTGAAACCTGATTGGCAGCCATCGTTTGTAACTTGAGTTATGCAAAACCAAAGGCTGTAGAATCTCTTGACCTCTGGTGGCATACGGGCTGCTTTGCGGATGCCTCGACACTGCCTGGGTTATCACTATGTTAAAGTTTACTCAGCAGCTGGCAAGAGAATTCAACAGTCGCGCTTCGTCCCATTCGGGGTTCGTCAGCTGAGTACACCTGCACTGCAGTGGGTGATATCCGCCGCATAAATAGTGGCATAGTGGATGACGCGTAGGCGTTTGAAGAGGTGGGTACCGAGTTGAAGTCTCAGTGAGAATATCACTCACTGGGGTGTCAGTACATTCGGCTAGTGAGTCCCAAACAAGACAAAACGTGCGTCCTGAATTTCACTGCTAGCCATTAAGTAAACTACAACACCAGAGATCGGTAAATTTAAACTCACAAGCCACTAGTTAGGCTCTTGTTAAACTTTGGCCGACTGAGTTTCAGTTAAGCGCAAACTGATAGGGATCTACTTATATGATCATTTCAAAAGTGATACCTATTTGTTAACTGTATATAGATTGCTGTAAACAGTCAATGAAGATGATAAGTATCACAATAAACTAAAAGAAGCGAATTTATTCCAACAAATGGTGAACAGGAGTCCTAAAAAAGCTCCTTGTTAAGCTTATTCGTGCTTAATCGAACGAAGAAATGACTCAAAAAAAAGGTTACGTCCTAAAATTTTTAAAAAATTGCACTACTTGCATTTCATAGCTAAAATAAACATGTTTGTCGAAACAAGAATGGGATATTATTCTTTTTATATCACTATTAATGAAGAGCGTTGTTTTAATAAAGCAACTCCTTAATCTTGAAAACCTTTCTTCAGCAACATCTCGGTTGTCATTCCCTGCCTCGTGCAAAACATGTGTTGCTGTCAGCTGCTTACTTTCGGCCAAGAGATGTTTTTACGAACGTTGCTGCATAGCGCCAAGCACTAGTGAGGGTTCCACCAAAGTTTTATTCTTTTATCTAACAGAGATATTTTCATCTGCGAAATATAACTGCAATTAGTTGAATGAACACAGTGGGCAGGAAACCCTGGTTGACATAGGTTTCTTACCTCTTGGCATTCATCAGCAAGGTGTACCTGCGACCTCAAGGAAAATGATGTCCTGGCTGAGATTCGAACTCGCGTCAGGCAGTATTGCAGTCAGAACCGTTACCACTGCGAAAAGATATATATAATTCGATCAGCACTTGGGACTAGACTACATGAAGTTAGTTAACCTCTAGTAACCAATCAATGTATATAACTACAATTATTTGGTTACCTTCTTCTACAACATTTCTTGATGAAATTTGTATCTTCATCGTTTCAATTTCTACATTCGTTCTGCAAAATTAACTCAGTTTCTCCCAGAGGACATTTTTACCAAACACCATTCATTCCTTCTTTTATCACTAAATTTTCACTACCTTTGATCATCGTATTGCAAAACCTTTTCCTTCTATCGTATTCGCCGCTACCACCATTGCATTTATTCTATCTACCTCTTATTTTCCCTGTCAAATGGAAATTTTCGTAAATATCAGAATTTGTTGTGCAGACGCTCTAGTATTGTATAAGTTTCTGGAACTCCTGAGCATCTTTTAAAGCAATATAGTGCTGTAGGAACACCCTGCTACAAGACAGCTCTATGTATATACAGATGTGAAATTGTATGTATAGATACTTTGCCATATGCTTCTTAGTGAAATTTAACAAATATTGATTTGTAAGCGAAACATTGTTATGATACCAGAAAATAATGATATATTATCGTGCATTATCTATGAGCATAAGTTTCAGGAAGTGCAACAGTCTGAAAATAATTTCGAAAAATATATACACGTGATTGTGGACAAAGTTTATCATTAGCCAATCAAAAAGGTTTATTGACTTTATTGTTAACCAACTAGATCTCACTAAAGTCAGTTGCATATATTTTTATCTATTGGTATGACTATATATCCTTTTTACCTTTAATGATACTGATCCCACAATTTCGACGTGATAAGAACTTTGCATATATATATATATATAATATATATATTATATATATTATATATATATATATATATATATATATATATATATATATATATATATATATTTGAGCTGTTAAACTTGACATACTACGTATATCGTAAAAAAACATATGACCACCTGACAGATAGTGAATCGGTTTAAGTTGTAACGTTTTTTCAGGGAAACGTACAAAATTAAAACGATAAGAACAAGTAAAATGTTGAAATTAACTGAAAGAAAATCAAGAGTTGCAGTTATAGAATTCAGATCTGTAGAAAAATGTTATTTGTGTTCTTGTAGTATAGAATTCAGACACTGTAGTAGAGTGTAGTTCTGTAACAGATTAGTCTGCTTGATACAGCACAAATGTGTTGATCAAATTGCAGCACTACGCTACACATTATTATAGAACAGAGCATAGAATGGCACCCAACTCAAATCAACTTCATCGACTTTGAAAAGGCCTTCGACAGCATCGACCGAGAAGTATTTTGGCAGGCAGCTGCTTCAACACTACGGTTTTTGTGCCACAAACATTTACCAACCTCATTCAACAGCAGCTATATGTTGCTACATGCCAAGTGATTGGCAATGGAAAGCTCAGCTCAGTGATACCTTTGAAATGCAGACAGGAGCAAGACAAGACTGTCGCCTACTATTACCGATGATCTTCCTAATTGTGATCGACTGGATCACGCAGCAAACCATGAGGAGCGAGAAGCTGGACAAATGCTGTTTGACCAATAAAAAGACTCTGAAGGGTTTAGATTTTGCCGATGATGATTTATGTTTAATGTTGCACAAACTCGAAGATCTACAGGCAAAAACTAACAAGTTGGCAGAAGAAGCGATGTAGGGAAGACGGAATTTCATGTAAAAGCAGACAAGACAGAAGTGATGAAGATGCCCAACAACAACAACAACAACAAGCACCAATCACTATCAACAGGAGAAACCTGGAGGAAGTAGTCTCTTTCACCTACCTACCTACCTGGGCAGCATCGTCTCAACTACAGAGGGCACAGATGAGGATGTCAAAGCCAGGTTCGGAAAGACAGCAAGACAGGCATGCTTTCATCAATCTGAAATCAGTGTGGAGATCTAATGCACTCAGCATAAAGCGTGAACAAGATCCGGATTTTAAACACTACGTAAGTGAAGTTAGTGCTTCTGTGTGATTGTTCAGAGACTTCGTGTGTGACAAAAAGCATTTTCAACAAACTACAGACAAACATCGTATCAACAACTACCGCCTACGCTAGCTCACTCGATACTGAGAATGAGATGGCCGGAAAGAGTAAGCAAGAAGAAACTCTGGCTGGCTGGCAGGCAACGAACCAACCAACAATCTATCGCTTAACAAATATGCAGAAGAATGTGGAGATGGATTGGATTGGACATACACCGAGAAGACCATTTGGGGACATCACGTGCCAGGCTAGGCCATGTCGTCGAGTGGAGGCCAAATGGGAAACGATGAGTTGGGCGTCTCAGCCTAGGGTGACATAGAGGAGGTGGTTTGAGGAAGAAATGAAAGCTTCTGGACAGTCTTGGAGGCAGGTTGGACAGACTGCAAAGAAGACAGTGAAATGATGACGTGCTACTCAAGCCCTATGTTCCACTAGGAGCCCAAGGGACAAATAATTTGATACAGCATACAACGGTACAGTATTATTTACTAGATGATATTTCGACCGAAATTTATTGTTCACATGATATGATATGAATATGAGCAGTAAAATGTGCTCGAAACGTAATCTGGTAGATAATACTGTACCATTTTGTGCTATATCAGATAGACTTATCTAACGTCACAATTGTGTTCTGCTACCCTATAAACCTCGGAAAAGTGGCCAAAAGTCTCCTAAACGTGTCAGACAGATTAAGGATCTCCTGAGTATCATGTCAGACATTCTAGATCTAACCATACATGAGATTTTAATGTATCGTCTCTAGGGATTCATTAGTGAATACAATTTAGCTCCAAAAGCAAGTAGCACTCAACTTTAAAGTTTACTGAGTTTAATTCGAGTTGATTAACAGAAGCAATTTTACATCAATCATAACTTCGAAAGAAACTGAAAAATCAAAATCCACCCAGTGAAATTTTACACTTTCGTGTAATAGGCAATGAGCCATACCTCGAAAGGTGGAGTCCATTGAATGAAAATCACCTCCATAGACTAATAAGTCACAACTCTACACCCATAACTTCGATTTCATTGATTAGTATTTTCGGGAAGTACCTAACAAAATGCAGCATTCATATTAAAAATATAGTGAAAAAAGACTGGTATGTTTACCTTGTATTAGGAATGTGTTTTCGGGTTCGAACTGCAGGTTTCACGATAGGCGGTATTTCAGTCGATTGTCTAACCATCTCTTTTTCACTCCTGAAAAAAGTGTAAAATCAAGTGCATGTTGTTGTGATTTCATTCCATTGATGATGGTGGTCGTATTTGAAAGGCTTAATTCGTAATCGACCCAATGGTGTACATTTTTCAAAACTGTTGTACTCACTGACTAGGACATAGATATAACAATAATGCAAGATGAAAAGTTTTAGTAAAGTTGCCTGGAACACAAACTTGTTAACCAATGCTAAACATTAAGGTGGCACATAACTTTGTCAAGTAGGTTGTTTTGTAGCAGCATCTTTTTATAGGTTGTTTATCAACTTATAGAGGGCTCGATTGACTTTGCCATCTTATTCCAATCGCAGCACTAGTGAGGTATCTGAAAATCCACTGTGAAGCAGTGCAATCTGTTCTGCTATAGAGTTTTGAAACAAAACCATTTCAGCAACACTACATAGGTCTGTTGAAACAATCGTCGGTGACACGTATTTCATGTGAGGCATAAAGCAATCTAGGTGAGTTACGAGGTAAGGCTGTTAATCATCGTTAACTGAAGTGGCTCAGAAATGCATTAGGCATGCCAACTCACCATCTGTACTAACACGCAGTCCAATGTGCAGTGGAGTTATGCTGCAAATGAAGTAAGTAAACGTAGACCAAGACGTGGCACTAATCCACTATACTTCTAACCATCGGTACAATCCGTAAACAGGGATTTAAGTTTATTGGTCTAAGTCGGCGACACACTTCTTTGAGACTCCAGGTGGTAAGGCTGGAGGTCAGGTGGTGTTGCAAGTTCTTGTGGATCAAATTTCTATCTAAATCCTGGAAATTTTTTTTACCATATATCTTTACGCCATATATCGCTCTTTCTTCCTTTATGTTACTGTATAATTGTTGACGCCATGAGTTTGGAAAGTTACTCTTTCCTCATTTAATCCTCAACCTTGATTTGTTAACTCAAAGTATGATGACTCAAATAAGTATCCAGTTAGTTGTTCCAGGTAGGGTATGCTTCAAGTTGTTTGTCATTTTACTTTCATTATAGTGTAATTTTCAAATACTTTATTATATAGTGATGTAAAGCAAACTTGATCGCCACATTTTTAAGCGTATTAGGAATTAGATAGCTTTACATCCACTACTGTCCATCTGCTTCATTGCCAACTACATTGATTCTACACTTTATAGATTTATAGATAAATGGATGCGAGGGAAATTTTCTTAACTCATCTTCTGGTCATATTGTTGACTTCAACTATACAGTCTATTAACTGATTTGGAAAAGGAATATATTCCAGCTTGCACCCTAGTCCGGCAACTAGTTTACCTGTTATGCAGTATTGACGATTTGATTGATTAATTTGAGGCTGCAACCAGGTGATAACCAGTCACTTAATAGCTATAAGACACTATGCTGTCAGATCAGATCTGTGTTCACAGTTCAATCGAGTGATTCATCCGCCCTTATGAAGACTAAATACAACGTCAGTATTGTTGTCTCTGTGGTTAAATAAGACATTCAAGGATTGCCTCACAGATAATTGCGACTGGTTGAACATCAATTCCTACCACTTTGACGTGCTAGTCAGGTTTCCACATCACACTGATCCAGTGAACTACCCTGATGAAATGTTTCTTTTCTCGAGGCTCGACCATGCCAAAAACGTCATTTGGAAAGTGGTAGGACAGCAATCAGTTACCGTTACAGTGTGAATTTCTACGTTATGATCAGGATCTGGGGACGAAGTCATACTGATCACTAGATGGGATTGTGATAACGGATAACTAGCAGTGAGATGTTGACAATACCTTCCCAATGGGAAGATGTGGGCTAGAAGGCTCGGCTCTAAAATTAGTACACTACCTTCTACCATGAGATATGAGTTCATAGTTGGGGTTGGAAGTTACAAGCCTAAATATCAAACTTATAAAAAACTACCTCAGTTCATTTTCAACCTTCCATATCCATGCCTTCTAATCTTTCTTCAACCCTTTTGAACACCATTTGTGCTTCATCTTTAGTTTGTTTCAGATCTGCAGCTCTTAAAAACGACCCGAGTTCACAAAACAGTATTGATAGTCTCCTGAAACTGCGCTACAAACTATATGTAGGGGCCATCAGTGTGCGTATCCTCTGTTTTTTCGGCCCACAAGCTCTGCTAACCACAACTACAGCATCTCGGGCCATCCATTTGTGCTGTATTTGTGAGGTACATATACAGAACCCAAGTGTGGTCATTCACTTAGCCTCATCCGGCCGATATAGTGGATCCACAAACTGTAACCATCGACTTTCTGGAGATTAGATGGTTAGTTGTCATGGTCTTGTAGGCTTAGCTACAGCACTAGGTGCTAAGGTCAGAAGTGAACTGCTCGGATCGATTGACTTTTTCACAAGAGAATCCCTAGTAGACCTAGTGTATGAAAATGGGATAGTCCAGTTAAGTTAACCCAGTAAAGATGCAGAGTCTTTTGGACACCTTTAGAGGCAATTTGGGAATGTTCAGGCTGAAGATCTGGCCACCCCAATGTGAACTGTTTCTCCAGGACTGATCTTCAGTAGGGACTTAATTAACACTAAGAGATAGATGATTGAGTGCGTTGACCACTTTACCCACCTAGGAAGTAGAATCCACCGTAGTGGCTCAATGACTAACGAAATCTCAGTACAGAAACAAAACGCTGGATTAAATTTCATAAACTCACACCATCTATGAGGCTGCCATGATATCCGATTGTCTCTCAAGGGTCAAGTGTGCTGTGTTTTAGTTCGTTTTGTTTTACTGTATCGCTATGAAACATGGCAATCCCAGGCAGAGGACATGAGGACGCTCCAGGTATTCTACTCCGATTGACTTCGTAGATAAGCTATATGTCGTGGTGTCACCACGTTAGTAGTACAGAAGTCAGGTGTTGAGCTTCAGGGAGAAGAGGAAGGTTAGTTGATGAAGATGTGAAACTGAGGAGCCTTGGATGTGCATTGAGTATGCTTAGTTACGGCCTGCCTCATCACACAATGTCAACTGAAGTAGGTTCAGGTTGAAAAAACGTAAGAGATAGGCGGACTAAAACATACCATCTGTCTCTGAAGTCTTTGACTAATGGTTTGAGCTATGTAAGAAAATACAGAATTCACGGTCTGGGTCCACGTGACAACAGAAACCATTCGTTGATATTTCTCGGAACTGATCTCAGTAGTGCAGATGTATACGCATATTCTTCTCATCTTAATTGGGAAACGGAGTTTCAATATTCTTCCATTCTTCCCTGCCCTCTTTTATTGACATTTTACCACTTGTAACTGCTTTTTTTGTATTTCTTGACTTTTCATCTTAGTGCATTTTTGCTGTATGTACTGCTACAAAGTGTAGCGACTTAGACCACTACACAGTAATGGCAGATGTGATGTTAATTTCGTCTGTCTGTTTTACATCTGGATTTTTCACATCATTATATATTCGAAACAAAAGTAGTGTAACTTGATGGATCGAAAGTGTAATAGATTTTGTAGGATATTAGACTTTCATGTAGATATATTGATATATAGAAACCTCTGGTTTTTCAATGTAATTTACTTATGCCAAACCACAATACCGACGATAGGAGAGGTTTACCCTAGAACAGTAGTCTTCATCTTACTTTTTGACAAGGCATGGTTATTGAAGATGAATTATAATACTAAGCTTATTATTTTATGTTTGTCTAATTGCTTACAAACTTACTTCATTTGAATAACATATTTATTGTTCATATTCATTCCTTATTCGGCTATCAATTATCTCACCAGGAATGACGTAAGTGGACTCTAATCCATGCCATTTTTTCAGGCAATTTCCACACACCTTCAGACTTTCCACACATCAGATTAACACTATTCAAAATATTTTTACATCGCTTGGCATTATTTTTGTCTTAATTTTAAATTAGTAAGTATATCTGTCTCTCTGTATTATACCACGCTATACATAATCAAGTATGTAGAATATCCAACTGAAAAGTTCCATCAAAGTTTGCAAATGTATTAAATCCTGCTTTCCATACTTTTATTGTACTCTTTTTTCTTCAACTGCAAACGTTGTATCGCAACCGGTGTTGCGTTGATTTGAGTGATGTTCAATAGCTTATATAATATCACTGAGAAAGACAGTGACGTCACAACCAAGAACTTCAGAAAGAAGTATATTGGTTCAATTTCAGTATCCTATAACATTACAGAAAAAGAAAACCCTAAAGAATAGAAAGATACTTATGGTGAAAAGGTAGAAAGACAAGAATAAACGAAGTAGATAAAGTTTTGAGTCTGAGGAACAAAATTCAACCTCAGGGAATATTCATTTATTTCAAGTCCCCATGCATCTCAATAAGTGACTTTAAAACAACAAGACCTTGTTATCGAAATGTGAATTTCATGAAACTCATAACTCAATAAACAGCTGGATATTTTGATAGCATATCATGAGTTAACATATCTAAAGATCATTTTATTATTGCTTGTTTGATCAACACTGTTTGTTCATATAGGTAATGACTAGATCTACGATGCATAGGCTTGGAATACCTTTGGTTGATAAGCTTAGTACCTCCGATAGCTGAGCTGTTTTCTTTGCTTAAAATAACACACTGAATCTCAACATCATGAAGTGTGCGAATAAACGGTGAGTAAGCAAATGTTTTACAATCCTATAAATTCTGTGTGACTTCATTGGTTCCACACTACACCTGTGGAGGAAGATAAGGTTCATCAATTGCACGAATTCTAGAGTGTCGATGTTTAATACGTATTCTGTTGGTGATAAGTGTGAAATAATTTGATAAGTGAGTTGTATCAATACGGAGATTTCGAAAACTTTCTTAAATATTAAAACACTTGGTTGACTGACATTGAACAAATAAACAAACATATCAAAGCAGACAATATTCTTCTTTCAAAAAGAATATCTTACTCTGTAACTTCAATATAAGCAACAGTATCAGTTGTATTACTATCACCTTGTATCATATTCTTTGAACTAGCAGTACTTCTCGGTGTAACACTAGTAGTAGTGATAGTATTATGAGGTAAATTAGGTTGTAAATTATCATTTGTTTCTTGTCTTGTCTCTATGGATCTTGTACTATCAATATCAATTTTAGAATAATCCAGATAAGAAGGTTCATCACTAACGGATTGATTGTTTTCAGACTTGTTTAGTTCATCTAAAAAGGAAGAATATTACCTAACATGCATTTATACAGCCTTGCACACATAAATGTATATATATAGAGTTACGAATACTAGCCACATATCTGGAGCAAGTTATTTAGTAGCTGAAGCATTGGCTCCAATATCTTGAACACACCATTATTAGAGGTACTGATTTTATTGAAATGACTACTCTTCAGGAATAAAGTAATATCGGCGTCGAATTTGAAAACTGGCAAACATTAAAGTTAACTCCGCCATTAGCAACGTCCAAGGACATACTTGCAAGAAGTCCCTTTGGTATTACGACAACTTGACAGACCATCCAACTACACAGACACAACATTATCTACCACATCTCAAAAAGGAGGTTCAGGCCATACCGTCAGATTTTTAGAAAACAAGGGAATGTATTTAAATGGTTAGTATATGTAAATATGTGACTTTAAAGGTCACCCTGGAAAATGCAGAGATAACCAATTACGTTTCTCCATTTTTAGAAAAACTACATTTATGGACGGAATACCGAAACCTGATTGATTATTTCAGTAGTTGCCAGGGTGGCCTTTAAAGTCACCGTATGTAAATATATGACAATTTTCGTTTTCTTCTCGGCACCGATTTTACTGATAAATTTCAAAACTTTAGACTTTTCGTCGGTGTGGTATTACTTTCATCATAACTACTAAGGTTAAAGTAAACAGTCAGATGGAAAGTGATCCTGTTTGACTAGAGTAGAATTGGTCTTATATCCTAAGGGATATATATATATATATATATATATATATATATATATATATATATATATATATATATCAGTAAACATAAAGCGAGTGATACGAACTTTGTAACACTATAACTGGTCATGTTAATCAACATCCAACAGACAAAATCAACGTCGAACCTCGCACATAAGTACATCGGTTCAAGTCGCCGCATTTCACAGTAGTATACAACAAACAGCTGGATAGAAACAGATTGATATCAAAGTAGATAAAGTGGTGGGAGAAAATAAACAACCTGAAGATAAATGTTAGTGAGAATATTTAGGACGCCTGCGCCATTGTAACGGATTTTCAGACATGTAATCAAGAGTCCTCAACCATTGATTCCAACGTAACAAAAAGTCAAATCGATTCTAGAAAAATGTGATAGTGATGTATAAAATAATGGTGGGAATCTTTGCGTAAAATTACAACAGTTTATATTCTGTATGGAAATAATCTGTTCTTAAGGGCTAATATTGCGTATCATATACGAATAAAGCTTATCCTTGAAGATTTCGAGTTATCCATTCGAATGGATACGATTTTAATAAAATACTAAATGTCTTATATGAGATTCGTCAGCTGGATGTACGTGCATCGCAGTACCTGATGTTGTTCCCATTGAGACTCGAACCCAGTACTCATTGCCTCAAACGCCAAAGGGTTATCCACTAGGCCACTGAGGCACGAAATTTAACTCTTGTACAACGGATTTCAGTTTTTACTCATGCTTCGACACGAAACTCAAATGCGACGAAAGCCAGATCCTGGAATACGCCACTAGCTACCAAGTAAACTATAGCATACTGGATATTCAAGTAATACTGAGTTATCCGCATAAGTGCCCAACTGCCGACAGAGGTCAAAAAATTCGATCCAGTAAATAAAAAGTGTCAATAAACGCTCAAATCCATATTTTTATCATATTTCTGTTTCTGGCATTATCTAGCTTTTTGTTTTCTCTCGCTTAAGGTGACTGTAGATTGGTGAAGTAGCTAACCGTTGGTCTGGGTTGCGTAGGTGTAAGCCACCTGGGTGAGGTCTTCAAGACGATGGGTGATAATGGTTGCAGACTCTTGATGAAATTGATCACAACGGTATCGTCTTCAAAGTGAATAAGAGTATACGAATGATGCAGAAAGATTCATCAAACCTTTTCACTTACGTCTGTATAAATAACCAATCTCAATAAACCTTTTTGGTCGATAAGTCTATAAAGGTGTTTCTCATTAGCAACAGAATAACGTGTAAAAATGACTTAGTTGATCAGTTTTCCTATGATAAATCAATAACAAATGGATCAAAAACCACGTTTCAGTGGATATTAGGTTGCGAACAGCAAACCTTTAGTGGCAAAGTCTGACCAAAGTACATAGGACAGAGGACTATCACAAATAATTTATATCAAGAGGTTTCAGTTAATAACCTATTATATAATATTTATCAACAAGATGCTAGAATACCTACTCTGGTAGTACATAAAGATAGCCAGATAACAATGTAGAATCTTGCACAAAATCCACAATATCAGTCATTTTTAAAATGCTTTGTCTAGAAGAATGCTTCGGTAAACAGAGAAACAGTTATCAAGACAGAAATAAGCCATAGTGAACAATATGCTGTAAGCGTTTAAGTTAGTGCATTTTGTTACAGCACACAGGAAATAACGATGCAAAATATCACGTTTCAGATGAAGATAGCGCATAAACACACCTACGATGGTTATTTTTAATCATGACTATTAAAACCCATAACTATCTGTTTGGTTTATCTGTTGAATCTCAGTCAGAAAGCCCATACAATCTACAGCAGCAGCAAACAACATGAATTGGTGCCTCAGCATGATCTGGCTACTACTTAGGCTAACGTCGTACGTCAAGGTGGACAGTAGCCCAACATTCACGACACACGTTTCAGCCATCATGACTTTCGCAAATTTTCGCATGCTTGGAAAACCCTCTCACGGTCGGAGAAAGTTAGGTTGATCCTAAGGATCATAGGATACCTGTAGATATCATTTTAATGGACTTTGGCAAGGCATGTAATAGGTACCTCACTCCAGGTTACGCATAAAACTGGGAAATTTCGGAATTATAGGCAGTCGATTTCCATTGATCTGTATTCTCCTTGTTGACAGGAGACAAAAAGTAAGGATCAACTACCAACTCTAATCCTTGAAGTTAGCACTCACTTTTCGGTAAGTGGTCGGATAGGTAAGAAAAAAGCCTTTGGAAATGATGTGTGTGGCTACAGGTAAAGTAAGACTCTTGCATTTAACGTAATCAAGCGAAGATCAAACGATTGACTGATATAATTCTGAGTTATTGCAAATCTAACAACAGTTTCTTCAACAAGTGTATAATGACTCTTTGCACCGAAGTTATTTGGTTCTTTCAGATAATTTTATTATGCAGAACTTTCAATTATGCTTATTTAACTAAATCAGGGTTTTTAGTTTTGTCATGTTCAAAAATCTTTTCATTCTCGGGTGTTTTTCTGTATCATTTCTCACAGGTTATACTTTTTGTTACCAAAATATTTTCCAGTTTGCATCGTTTCTGGTCAGTATTCACGTTTGCCTTTGATAGCGATTTCTCACGATCAGCCAGAATACCGATACCTTGTGGGAAATTGGATGCAATAAGATAACTGTAACCGTTGATACAGTACGGTATGCAATGTCTTGACGCCAGCTGAATACCGCCCTTGAGGTGAAACTACCCCTTTCCAGATTTGTAACTTTTTCTGCAAACCTATGTCTGTCCTCCTACAGAAAGTTGTTGAATCAGTGGTAGTTAAGAAACTACCATATATTAGGAATAGATGTTTGATTCAATCAAACGATGACGCAGTTAACATGATAGAGGTTATGTACAGCGCAATGCCACGTAGTTAGCAAGATATCAAAGAGTTAGGAAAAGTTGATATGCCCTTTTCCGATAAACTGATTCGTCGTAATAGAAACTAGCAAACAGTAAATGGAATAGCTGCGATCTAGACTAGTTCCCACACTGAGAGTACCGTTAACACAAACTTTGATGACTCAATATGTGAGGATGATCAGGTGGCACCAAAGAAAGCTTCCAGGAAGCAGTCATGTGACTTCACCTCAAAAACTAAAGAAACCGAACCAGTTGAGAAGGCTTCAAAATCTATCAGTAAAAGACCCAAGGATCTTAGCACAGCATCTAGTGTAGTCGGGTGGAATCTAAAACAGAAGAAAGATGAAGAGCCCTCTAAACGTCAATCACACTACTTGAATTTGGTTGAGAACGCCATTCAGCAAATCATGCCAGCAACATTATGTGGATGACATTCCTAGTGGTTAGATTTGATAGTCTGAATAAAAATAGACTCGACTCAGGAAGGATTTTAAAAGCAATCTTATGGAATCAAGAAAAGATGGATTTCATTTTGAGGAACGCATGCAGCGTGTGTGACTTCAATATCCTGGCATCTTGATAAAAGAATGAAGAAGTTTATCAGTTTTGCCAAGAAGGAGGAGAAGAAATTATTACACTTGCGCTTATTCGGCTTGTGAAGTCTTTTACATGAATGATTTCCGAACATAGTTGGACAGGCTGGCTAGTACCTCAAGTACTATAACGGTGGTGTATGCTAATGCCTTTAGCCTCCGTAATATATCTTCAAATCTCGCAGGCTTTAGGCAGAGAATTAAGACTCAAAGTAGTTCCTGTCACTGAAATATGTTTCATAAGAAATATGTATGTCACTTTTCGTCTCTTTGGATATTCCTGCATCAATCCGGATGGGATTTTAAGTAGTAAGAATGAGGAACTGCCACTATACACGCATGATTAAGTCAGTATAAGGTAGATTAAGCCAGAAGCACATGACAGCGATACACATGAATTAGCCTGCTGTGAGTTCTGGCAAATGGGAGGTGTGGACAAAATCTTAACAGTCCACTAGAGTCCACCTAACTTAGCCAATGAGTTTGCACTGAACCATATATCCACACGAGTAACAGTAACAGATGCTTGATAGCACCAGTTTACCTAACCTCCCTACCAAATGACTAGGTTGAACCCGCAAGCTCATATGAACCACCTAAAATAATGATCTAATTTTATCAGCCCAAGAGAATCCTTTGGTGCGAAATGTTGTCAGTGCAAAACGTTTTAACCTACAGCTCAACTCATCACTTACGGACCTAATTTTTACACACAAAATACAAGAAGTGACTGACTTCCAGGACTCACCTCCACCAGTGAATATTGACTAAG